GTCCATCACTGTGCCACTCTCTTCTAGAGGAATCGAAAGGAAAAGTTCCAGTGATGCCTGTGGTCATTAGAGTAGATCCTTTGTACTTATCTGATGCTGTGTTCACAAAGATCCAAATGTGAGCTTTCCTATTTCTTTTTTTCACTGAGAGGTAAGAACCAAAGTTAGTGACAGTCTCACAGTGATATGGTCATAATTTCAGTCATTGACCAGTCAATAACCCTTACAAAAAAAACAAGACTAAGAAGGATACTGAGTACAGATCAAGTGCTATATTTAGTATCAGAACTTAGAATTGAAGATGTGAGAGATAGACAGGCTTGTAATTTAAATATGAGAGTGACAGCAAATCAGAAAAATTGTAAATTTGTTTACAGTTACAATTTTAATTACTACTATGTTTCTCATGTGGCCTGTTTTTTCTTGCTTAAATTTTCTGAACTAGTTTTATATTACTCAATCTGTATTTGTGAATGGTTTATATATAAATAAAACTGCTCTCTAAATATTGGAGCTAAATTCTTATCACATCATTTACATAATTCCACAGGCATCAGTCAAACTGGCCACATGAATGGGTGAAAAGTGTTTTTGTGTCGGTAATGATTGTTATGGGACAATTAAAATTTTTTGTGGCTTAATTCAGGACTGAATTAAGCCTGAATTAAGCATAATTCTATTGAGGCTATTTTTACTATAAAGTTGATTTCTCCTATCTTTTCAGAATATGTGGAGTGTTTGCAGTACAAGAATGAGTGTAGTGGAGCTTTAAAGTTACATATGTCTGGACAGAACTTTGTAAGCCTTTTGAAGTCTTAGAGAAAGAAGGAGCATTCACATTATCAAATGGTGACACTTGATTATAATCTTCACCAGGTTCCAGAAGTATTATCTTTTGGGTCTCAAATTCTAGTGATACACAGAAGCTACTGATGGATTAGCTGGTTATTGAAAGTGGCTTTGCATGCCCTGGAAAGCTAATGAGGGTAGCAATGATATTTTAAATCCTGCAATATAAATTCATATTACTAATGGTTAAGTTATAAGACACCAGAATATAATTAGCACTTGTTCATCTTCTGAACAAGTGTAAACAACAAAATACTGACTGTAGTACATTAGCTAAGATAACTTAAGAGCCTAAATAATAATATTAATATATTATTAAAAAATCATATTTTTAACAAAATATCTGTGCAAGATTATCATTTAATGTTTTTATCTATGCATCTTATGAAAGTGGAACTGAAGTGGTATTTTAAAACTTCTATAAATTTTGCATTCTCCTCCAAGGAAACTCGTTACTGCATGCAATGGTGGCGTCTGCTGAGCAGTGTTTTTGTTACTCTTCTACACAGCTAGTTTTGAGAGCTTGATGTAATCCTGATTAAGCAAAGAAGCTCCAAATCAGATTATACATCTGGTAGCAATTAGATGGAACAGTTACCATCTGGGAACATAGTATTTCCACTGGAAAAAAGAAAAAATACCCCACAAAACCCCCACAGTCAGTGGTATAGTTAAAATATAGTTAAATGTAATCCTCCTGTCTCTTCATAAACTGTATTCACATGCATTTACAATCTTTGCCCTTTTTCCAACATGTTGAAATAAAGAGTGCCTCATGGATGACGAAACTCCTTCAGACTGTCATGTTTTACTGAATGTTGGGAAAGAAACTGTGGAACTATTTTCATTTTGACATCTGATTATAGACAATATATGAGAATCTTTTAGCACAAGGAGGATCAGTTTGATGAAATGAACGAACAAAAGCAAGAATTAATGCTAGCTAATAAGTAGAGAAAATTAATAAATAGTCTCAGAAGGTGAGTTATATTGTGTTATATCTTAACATATTAAAAATTCATATCACTAAAGGATTTAGTTTTGGAGGATAACCCTACTCTGACAAGAAGATGGATTAGGTGACCTACATTCCCCCCCCATTTTTATTTTATGTGTTTCTATGCATCTCTTGAGCAATTTAAGTAAACAGAAAATTATATAAATGAGATATTTAGAAGGTAAATAGAGTTTCAAAACCATATGAGAGGACTTGCTGAATGAGAAGTTGGACATTCTGCTCTGAACAATGGCTGCCTGAGATGAACCTGATCTGGTGATTCACATTAGCTGAGATTAAGCAAATGGATTATGATGTTTTTTCTAGCTGAGCATACTTAGAATAAGACTAAGGATGTTGTTTCATATGGTATAGACAACTACATGTACAATTCATAAATCTCTGAAAACAAGCTATACTCTCTTTTATTTACGTACGACTGTGGGTGAGTATGATAAAATTATATGCAATGCTTACCAGCTCTATGGCATTAGGCGTATTCTTATGTATTTAGAACAAAGTGCTCCACTTTATGTCTTTATAAAATTTGGCATCTTTATGCATAAGCTTTGAATGAGTGGTTTCGTTTATGAGAACACAGGGACAGGGATTAAATTCTGATTTCTGTTTTGTTTTTTTTGAGAATAAATTTCTTAGCAATATAGTTGTCAAAATATCTTAATAGACATTCTGTATTATGTAATATCAGCTATTTTTAATTTTATAATAATATCATTTAAGTATGAAAATCATTAGTATGTTTAAGATGAAATGAAGCTATTACAGTGTGATGACCTGTAGTACGAAAAAGTAACTTCTACACTACCTTAAAGAACAGTTGTTCATTGTCCATAGGTTGAACAATTGTTCATTGTTGAAATGTTTTCTATTTGTAGGATGCAATTATAAGGTATCTGAAAGATGTATAAGCAATTTCCACTATTGATATGTGTATTCTCTCTTTGTTTGTTTTGGATTTCAGTACTTTCACAGTGTCAAGACTAAGTTTAACAATTATCTTTATGTAAAATATATTTATTTCTCTTCCAAATGTTGATGCTTATGTAGCTGAATGTTTTACACAATTACAAATATCCAGATCAGCTTCTGAGAAGCTAATTCAAAAGTGATTAATATCAGTAGTCTCATGACAAAATCCACCTATTTTATCTCTGGTAAGAGTGAGTAATCAAATCATACAGTTAGATGAAATTCCACTCCATTTTCATAAAGGGTGAGAAATACAGTATAGAGTAGCTGAGAAACTATATTTATTTCTGTCTCTGGCCATTGTTGATGATAACACTTTTGTCCTCAGAGATCCTGAACTGCACTCTAAAGCTCAAGTCTCCTTGGCCAGTTAAAATGGAGCAACATTATGTTCAGTTCACTCAAGAACTTTACCACATTGCTGCTTTCATTGTAGAAGAACATCTGCTCTTCAAAGAGAGTAGGAAAGTTTGTGTTGCAGCAAGCAACAAAAATGCAAAAATGACCCTATATATTTCCTCTAGGAATATCAGTCTAAATGGAATGACGCATGAAGCATAAAATGACTGCTTCAAATTGGGTCCCTAGTCTTAACTCACCTGTCAATCTCTCAGTTTAGAAGTGCAGTGAAAATTTAGGCAGCTAATGAATAGATGTGTCAAAAAAGATGAACAGCTATAGCTCTCAGTGATTTCAGTTGGAGTGGAGTTCCTCCCTACTACACTAAAAGTAAACCATTTCACTAGATATGATGGACTGGGTTGTATAAGTTGCTGTAGCCAAACTTCAAAATTTCTTCTTGCATATTCCTTAAGTAAATAATTACTTTTTAAAAAATTTTTTAAAAAAATTATTTATTTTAAGTGGAATTGTGATTACCTAAATCAATCTTGGAGAACACAGTTCTAGTGGAGACCTGTTTGGTTATTTTTTCATTTTAGCACTTAGAATGAGTACAATTTACAGCATAAATAATGTCTTAAAAGGAGACATTTCTTCCTATGTTCTGATCATTGTTCAAAATAAAAATAATTTTAAAAGTTATTGACTCCTAGTAAAGGTAATGCACCTGTTCTGAAGCAGTGCATTATTGGAAAAGCTGTAAGAACAGAGTAAGGTAAAATCTTATCAAATCTGACTGTTTGAACCTTGACTATCTTGAAAAATAACAACTTTTTCTTATCAGTTTCAGAACTGATGTATGTAGTAGTAAAATAGTCAAAATACTGTTTTCCATAGCTTGATTAAGAAAAATATATAGTAGCCAGAGGAGATTGTTCCATTGGTCGATATGTCCACTATATCAAGGTAACATCATCAAATAATTTAATTTATATCATTTTGCTGACAAACATGTTTCCTGAGACTGCTATGTAGCTTTTCAGTAAAACTCCACTAAAACTCTTTCCTTGACACTGATTAGTTGACTAGCCATTTCTACCCTGTGTTAAGTTAGCCATTTAAAGAGTTGTCATTACAGAATCTATATATAGATTGGACTTTTCTTGTACTTAAGATGTCTTATTTGGTCAGTGTTTTTTTTCCTCAGTATAAATGCAAATATTGTAGTGGATATGTCTGGATATGATCTGTCAATTTATGATGCAATTTCACTCTACAGCGTGTTTTTTTGTGACAAGTGTAAGTAAATCAAGAGACTTTTCTCTGAATCCAGTGGATTTGCTTTGGTATGAAACTAGCACGTAAGATCAGAATGAATTGCATTGTCTTTCATTTTTGTTGTTTTGGACTGAAAAAGGCTCATGCCAATGCATGAGCAAATTGCTCCCTCCTAATAAGGAATTTTCTGATATCTGAAATATGAAAAGTTGTCATTAGTTGTCTTCATCCTCAAGAAAGGATGGACTGTCAAAGCACCTTCTTCTAAGGACAGGTCTCTTGTTACAAAATGATAAGAGATTTGAAATTACACTGGAGAGTTTTGGGAATATTTGCAAGCAGGGCTATGCTAACTTAATCTGATAGTATTGGAGTCTTTGTGGAATTTAAAGATAACAGCTTGGATTCATTTAAATGCAATGATTTTTGGCACAACTTTCTGCTGTTGGTTTCTTATAAATCTTCTTTCTACACCTTTCAAAATAAAGACTGTATTATTACTAGTTATAGGAAAGGTTTTACACCCATCCCCTCTTTCTTGCAGATTGCTGTCAAAATGAGCGAAACACCTTCAACTAGTTACTCAGTGAATCAGCCAAACTCCTCTGATAGTGAACAGAGTTTATCCACGCGCCATTTCAATGTTACTGAACCTGTTGTGGCAAAACGGATTTGCTTCTATAAGAGTGGAGATCCCCAGTTTAATGGGATCAAAATGGTCGTTAATAGCCGGTCTTACAAAACGTTTGATTCCTTGCTGGATAGTTTATCCAAACGGGTCCCATTACCTTTTGGAGTGAGGAACATTAGTACACCAAGAGGGAGACACAGCATCACCAATTTGGAGGATCTCGAAGATGGAAAATCTTATATTTGTTCCCATCAGAGAAAAATGAAGCCCATCAACTTGGAACAGGCCAGCAAAAAGCCACTGCCCTGGCAGATCAGCAGGCCTGTCAGTGCTCGTCGTCGAGCTGTGCAATTAGCAAGGGGGAATGAAGATGGATTTGGCCATCGAGAAAGAAAAATAATAACTCCCAAAAAGATGCTTGTTTTCAAAAATGGAGACGTAAGACTTAGGCGCACCATAGTTTTGGGAAAGAAAAATACCCAAACGTTTGAGGCCTTTCTGGATCATATGAGTGAGTTAATGCAATATCCAGTTGCAAAACTATATACTACTGATGGCAAAAAGGTAAGAATAAAGATGAGTACTGACAATTTTTTTATGATTGCTTCTAGATTATTTTAAATTAAAGAGATGATTTTATCCATTATAAGCTTTGAACATAGGCCTGGTGTAAAATCTGATGTGCTGAATTTCATGTTTCCTTTCTGTACCTTTTCCCCCTTCAGAAGACCTACTAGCTTGAAGGAAATATACTGGAATCTTGCAGTCAGAGAGGGTATTTTATTTTAAGCAAAAAGAAAAAACATTGTTTTTCTCTTATTTAGGCCTCTTTCAGGCATGGTCTTGATTTTATACTTTTACCCGTTCACACAGAAACTTCCTTTAGGCTTAGTGCTGTTTATCTGTGGTTTTTAATCTTTTAGAAATGTGAACAGTAGCATCTAATAGCCAGGTATATTTTTATCATTGCACAAACGCAGAGCGGTTTGCCATTAATGACTTGGAACTCTGACACCTGATTGCCTATCATAGTTTTCAAAACATGGACCAGGTTTTATACCACTAAACTCAGACAATGCAGCACTAATAATGCAGATTTTAATCTCACATAGTACTTTATATAATTTTATCTCATTTAGTGTTTTTTCTGAGTGTTGTTAAATCACAGAATAACATTTATGATTACACTTAGCCAACATTTAGCAAGAGAATTCCATGCAGAGCTCCAAGAGTTCAAGGGCAATCTCCTGTTTATCCTCCATTTGGTGAAATTGTGTATTAGGTTGGAAAACTGTTCATATTACCTACAAGTTAGTGAAGTGCAGTTTGTAAGGATTATCTTGCAATATATTTTGGAACATAAATTCAAACCAATTAGACAATGCTCTGAGCACCTTGATCCAGTCAGACCTGCTTTGAGTAAAGAGTTAGACTATATGACCTTCAGAAGTCTTTTCCAATGTATATTGTTCTGTGTCCTATCCAATGGTGGAAGTATGTGTTGACTGCTTGCGGTGTATTCTGAATTTTTTCCTCCAAATATGTCTTCATATGTTTACCTACCTCCAAATACATATTTGTATTTCATGGCTATGAACAGTCACTGTGCAACAATGAAACAAAATTACACGTACAAATACTTAAATTATAAGAAAATTCTGATCTGGATTCAAGTTACTTCTTGAAGTCATTTTCCAATATATTTATATAACAAGATATGCCCCCACAGATATAGGAATTGCTTTATAGGAATTGAAAAATCAATTCCGTGCAATGATATATATTTAATAGTCTGCTGCAAATGAATGTAGAGACTAAGAAGTGAAGATATTAAAGTTTGAAATGGATAAATCTCTTACATTATTTTTTTGTTACTACCCAGGCAGAAAATTTAATGTTACTTTTTTTTCCCCAGGTTCCTAATCTTCAGGCCCTGATATTGTGCTCTGGAGCTGTAGTCGCAGCAGGAAGAGAACCTTTTAAGCCAAGCAATTATGAAACTCTTGGGTATTTACGGCCTGCTAAATTACTTGGAATTGGAAATCGTGTGTACCCAAAAGCCAATGCCAAGTCAGAAAGTGAAAAGAGTAAGTACTTTGAAACTAATTTGCATTTTATTAATTTGTTTATCTCTCTTGGCATAAGACATAAACAGTGACAATCTTACTAGGATCAAGAATGTTCAAAAAGGCCAGTTGAAACTGCTTATATCTGGTATGACTCCTCTATAAGCTTAAGATCAAACTGTTAATTTTCTTTTGAAAATGTAAGTTTCTGCAAAGTACTTGACTAGTATGAATATTTTGTTTCTGACAGACTTACTTGGAACATGGATGCAAATCTATCTTTTATTTTAATTCACTTGACTGTTATTGTTATTAATTTTTTGGTATCACGGTTAATAATGACACTGGTAGGAGAGAAACCACAGGCTACTTCAGGCTCTTAACTGACTGAATTTCTTGACCAAGCATTTTTTCAGTTTTCAGAACTTACCTTAACAAATGGAGTTTTGGCTTGTCATGACTTACACTTCTTCTCTTGTTCCATGTTACACATAGACAGGAAAACCTGTCTCTTAAAGCATCCACTCATAAATTAATCATGTTTTTGAAGCTGCTTTTGTCTAAACAGTGTGTCATCTGTTTCTATATCCTCATGGCTACGATGTATGTTTTTTGGATAAGTTTGGGAAAAGATACACAAATATGTACTTTTCCTTTGATTAATCACAGAGTTGTGCCACTGATAAGGTCAGTATGCTAACACATATTCGGGCCATATTCAAAATTCACTGAAGTCTGGAAGTATTCTCATTGGCTTTGCTGAGTTTTGCACCATTGTCTGCAGTACTTATGCATAAATGTGTTTCAGAATGTCATAATTTAAGATCAGATTTTATAAGGAGTTCAAGAACTTCAATGTTTACTTCTTTGTAGAAGGTCAGGACAGGGGACTGGATCTGAACCCTTTATTCATGTGATAGTACACAGGGTAGTTAATCATATACTGTAGATTGTTGGGTTAAGCCAAGGAGAGATATATTCACCTTGACTGACATGTTTTAGTACAACCATAAGAACTAATAGGAAATGATATATTAATGGTCGCTAAAGCATGAAGAGGAAGCAAAGCCGGTAGCTCGAAGTCCAAAGAAGTGAGGGCCTGTGAATGCCTTAGGCTTTGGAGCTTCAAATAAGACTAGAGTTCTCTCATTAGAAAGAACCCACTGTAAAATAAAATTAAGTGAAGTATTTAAATGCTTAATTATTTATGAAAAATTTCTTATATTTCTCTCTCCAAACAATTTCTTAAATGAACAGCAAGATTAATCATGTTTTCCTCTGTACCTGCTAATGCAAAATAAATAAAAAAGTATCTAAAATAAACACATTTCATTAGCAACTTTGGTACTAATTTTTCTCCTTTCTTCTTTTCTCTTTCTTTGTTGCCTGTCTGCTGTCTCATCATCTGGATCCTTATCCATGATATTTGTCTGCTCTGCTTTCCAACTACTGAATGAATTTGTGTTCTTTCAATATAATTATTGGTAGTGAGAGGTGAAATGGACTCTAGCTCAAGATCTCAGATATTCTCGGTTTCTTCCGATAAAGGATCCAGCAACAATAACAATTCCAATGATAACAACTCAGATTCTTCATTTGTTCTTGACAGTCATAATGGGATAGAAGGAAATCAGTCAGTTACTGGTGAAGACTTATCTGTGGCACAGTATCAAGATGACATTGAGAAGTCCGTTCACCTTAATCAAGATGGCAGTGTCACAGTGGAAATGAAAGTTCGATTCAAAATTAAAGAGCAAGAAACCATTAAATGGACAACCACTGTAAGTCGTGCTGGCCTTTCTGATGACAAAAATATCTCAATTTGCAATTCTGCAATGAATGCGGAAGACTGTTTATCCAATGTAAATGCATCAGAATGTACAAATCCACAAGACACTCCGTTTTTGAACAGCTACAATAAAGAAGAGGAAGACTCATTGCAGCAATCCAATGCAGAAGTGTCAGACAAAGAATCAGACTCTGATTTAAAAACTGCTGATTGTAACGTCTCTGATCAGAACAATTCCGCAGATCTAGACACAAGCAATGTATCTGAGGAAAATATCAGGCCTCGCTTTTACAGGCCTCCCACCCCTGGACCAAGGCGTGTTAGACAAAAGAAAGCAGTAGTTGAAAGTGTCACCTTGGTATCTGAGAAAGAGGTTCAAGAGAAGACAATAGGACAGTTTTCCTACAGTGAAGAAATAGAGAATGGAGAAAAAACATCTGAGTATTGCATGGTAGCTCATTCAAGCAGAAAAAAATCAAGTGTCAGTAACCCAAAGTTTAGTGACATGAATGGCAATGGTTTATTAAAGCTTTCTTCAGAGAATATAAAAGAAGAAATGCTTTTTAAAATAAGCCATAAAAGCAGTGATTTAATAGAAACCACAAATAGGAAGACATTAGAAGTGCCTGACGAGGAGGAATTGGTACAGAATATATTGGAGAAATCAGTTGTGGGACAAGGTGCATATAGTAGCTTAGTATCAACCTCCAAAGCTAACATCAGTGGTTTCATACCAGCATCAAAAATTTGCCAGACAGCTAGACCAGGTTCAGCAGATCACATCCATAAGTCATGTGATATTAAACAAATAAAAAGATCACTGAGTTCTTTCATTACATATTCAGAGTTACGTCAGTCAAAAGAAGAAATAAACTGCAAAACTGCTGATTTTATACCTATTTCTCAAGATTCAGTGCATTCATCCTGTCCTGGACATAGCCAGATGAAGGTGACAGTACCTCCATGTAATAAGGGTCCTACTGAGAAAATAAATCCTACAACTGAATTCTTTCCTACTGTTACTGAAAGTGAGAATCAAATCAGTGTCCGGACTGAATCTGTGATGACAACACAGCTCGTTGATAACAGCCAATCTGCATCATCCCTCACTAAAAAGAAGAAGAAGAGAAAATCATCTGGTTTTTTAGAGCAAGGTGCATATGAAAATCAAAAAGATCAAGAAATTTCAGGGATAACTAGAAGTGAGGGAATGCATATCACAAGAAAAACCACACGGGATTCTGCAACAGAGGCTATGGATAATTATTCTGAAGTACCTCAGAAAAAAGAATCTGAATTTTTACTGAAAACCAATGATGGATCTGTCAATTCAGACAAAAACATATGTCCTGAAGATGAGTTGTATCATCAGCATCCAGTGGAACAAAATGGATCATCATCAAATAAAAAAAAAAGAAGTAATAACAAGAAGTTGACCAAGGTAAAATCGAAGTCAGGCAAAAAAAGTAGTATCATTTCGTCTGAAAAGAGTGAAGATGGTCTAATGACAGTTAATTCAAACAATGAATCTGAGCACAGTCAGGACACATTGAATACTGAGAAAGAAGGAACATATCTTATAACCAAATCTTTCAAACAGACACCTAACACATTAGTGACTTTAAAGCCATTGTCAGAAGTGCCAAAGAATCTTAGCTTTGAAAAAGAAAAGAATAATTTGGAAAATTCGCCATCAAAGAAAGAGAAAAAGCAAAAGGCAACCAAGAAAAATCTAAGTAAAAGTGCAAAGAAGTTATATATGTCAGAGAGTGCCATTACACTAGAGGACAGTTTTCAAGAGGAGACTGGTGAACATTCACTAGAAAACTATGTCCAATCTTGGCTGAAAAAATCATTATCAAATTCTGTCTTACCCCCTATAAAGAAAAAAGAAGGGATCGTTGAGAATAGCAATGCGTGTTTTTTTCCTGAAGAAAATATCAATACTTCTATAGATAAAGAAACAAGATTTATCACAAATGAAGTGCATATGACTGGAAAAAACCATCTGATTGAACATAACCTAACCAAAAAAACTTTAAAGCCTATTGGTGAATTGAGAACTTCAGAAGAATCAGCAAAAAATTCAGGTGAAACACAAACTGCACCTTTAATTCATGCTAATACAACTATAGTAGAAGCAGCCGAGTACTCACTAAAGTCAGAATTTCATCAGGACAGTAAGCTACACTTGTTTCGTGAAACACACGACAATGATGAAAAGATGGCAGAAGCTGATATTCAAGATACCAACCTATGTCAAAGAAAAAAATCTGAAGTTGCTGTTCAAGTTAATAGCACAATTGTTAATGAGAAAATTGGAACTGATGTTCAGAATAATTGCATGTCTAGCATGCTGCTGAATGAACTACAGTCAACTTTACTTGGTGTCCAGAAAGAGCATAGTGGATGTATAGGAAAAGCTTGCAGCCTTTCAAGTCTTTCTCCTTCAGGTTTTGGTTCTTCCTCCAACATGCTCCTAGCTTGGCTACTGGTACTGAATCTGAGAGAGAGTTTGATTGGGACAATCACAGATGATATGCAAAAAACTGCCTGTAGCTGTTCTGAAATATTTACACAGTTACAACATCTGAAACAAACTACAGTTACAGAAAAAGCTGATGAGCTGAAGGCTGTCTTCTCGCATTTTCAACAATCAACAGAAAATAAGTTATTACACTTCAAGAGGGAACTTGACAAGGAGGACTCCCCACATTACCATGAGAATATACCCATATCTGAAATTCATAGTTGTATACATCTGCATGAACATGAAGAATCAGATGAGCCTTGTGTTCCAATGGACAGTGTCAATTCTGGAGAAGCTCTAAAATTATCTGGGGAATTAGAAAACTGTTTTGATATACAGAATGATCTTTGCAGAGAAACAGAAATCTTAGACTTGACTGCTCCCAAAACACAGCTAGATGGTCAATATCCCAATCCTGATTCAAATACCTGTAGCCTTGCATCAGCTTTAGAGACTCATGAAAGAAATGAAGAAATACTGTATAGCCTATATGAAAAACCACAAGTTAAACCCACTGATGCATCATTTACTAATGAAGAGTCAGAAACTTCAGTAGAACCTAACTCGACAGTTCATAGTGTAACTTCTAATGATAAAAATTGTATTTTAGATCAGGATATTTCTGAATTAGAAGGTGAAAAAGATATTCTACATGTTTCTACTGATAAAAGTGAAGATGAGGATGTTGATCTGAAGTCATCAGGTG